GTTGCTGGGAGTTAAGATGAGGTTCGGAAGCTGTGCGGGGGAGGTTGCCTTCCCTCCCTCGTGTAACACATAAACTATAGGTAACAAATAAAGATTTCTACCCGATTTTACCCCCATCTCTTCTTTTCTTTTTGTCAGTTTTAATTTTTAAATCATAATTTAGCTTCTAAAAGTTACAAAACAGATCTTGTTAAAAGATTAAAATTCAGCGTTGCCAACTCCGAGGAAAGATAATTCCCAATTTCTGCCTTCAAAATTCCCAAAATCAACTTAAAATTCCCTATATTTATGGTATACTGAAAACACAGTAAAAAGCGTTTTAAATTGATATCAAATTTAAAAAACAACTGAATAATATGTATTTTCAATATCTAAAAAGCCCTCTTTTGGGATAAAATTTCTTGACAATGATTTATAGATTTATATAGATTCTATTTAAATCATAAATACATCTTAGTCAAAAATAATTCATGGCAAAATTGTTATGAATTTTAGTCAATTTCATTGTTTTTCAGTACAATATACAAAATATATCAAAAAGTTTTAAATTCCCCAGAAATACCCCATTCCCAATTGGGGTAGAAATTCCCAAGATTTCCAAAAAATGGGTAAAAATTCCCCCAGTTGGCAACGCTGGATTAAATTGTGTTTGTAAATGTATAGAATAACCCCGAGGTATACATATTACATGTGTACACAACGTATACAATCTCACTTCCAGCTTACTTAAACTTGATTTTGAATTGAATTTGTTTTTCTGTGCCTCAGATGAATTTGTTATCTCTAGCAGCTTTGTGATATTTTATTGTGAATTGTCGTAAATATTTTGTCAATTAAACCGTGGCGTAGTCAATCTTTTTTCTTTACTCATTCATAGTGATAGAAATGATCGCAAATAGAGAAAGGAATTACGTGTGATCAAAATGAACTTGAGGAAGAGGACAGAAAATGGGTAATTTCCTAGTATACGATTTTTGGACCCCATCCCCCCCACCTCCTATCAATTTTGTACATGGGTCTGACAGGAAGTGTCTTAACTTAACCTAACCCGTGGCCGCAGCGCTCGGCCCCCTAGTCCATCCTAGCCGCAGCGCTCGGCCTAGAAAGTGTCTTAACCTAACCTAACCCTAAATAACAAAAAAAATAAATAATAATAAATTTGCTGAAAAATAAATGGTCATGTACAAAATTGATAGGAGGGGGGGGGAGTCTCTAGGACACCCTCGAAAGCAACCAAACATTG